GTTGGTCTCTTTTTAAAGAAGACAATCAGCAGATTATGGCAAAAGGGGATTTTTTTTCTCCAAAAAATTTAAGTATCAAAAAGTTATAGAAGTTTAAATTTATTGTAAAGAAAATACACTGTACTAATTTTATTATGTTTTATAGTTAATACATATTTTACATAATAGGTTTTACTCTAAAATTGCTATAAAATTTAAGCCTTCGGTCTAAATAAGTTATGTTCCAAATTTGAAGTTGATCTGAACAAAATTGAGGTTTCTGTGAGATTTTATTTGGGGCATCATACCACAAACAGCCACTGGGTGCCATCCAAACTCCACTGAATTTTTTAATGCATTTTTCTGCAACATATGTTGACATTTCTCTGCCAATTTTGCTTCTATCACAAAATAAAAAACTCAGACCTTTCCAGAGATATGTTTTTTGTCAAGATTATAAAAAGTTTTGATTGTAAAAGACCGTAATGCATTTTGTAATATGACACTTGACACCGCCTGCTAAGGGGGAGGAGACCACCAAAATATTTTAAAGTACCATTTCCATGGTAAGGCAAAGTTCGATTTCAAAATGGTTTTCACAGGATGAATCTTGGGCTTCTTAGCTTTCAAACTATATATAATTTATGATGATTACTAAAACATTTGATTGAGAAAAAGGACAACAACAAAAAAAGAGCGCTAAGCATCCCACAGGTGGAATGGTGACAGTTGAAATTTGTGTTCAACAGACGTACTTTGTGATTTTAATCCAGTGCGAATCTGCCAAGTCTGTGTTTTTCTCACAATTTCTGTAAAAATTCTAATCCTGTCCCAATGCAAATGTCTGTGATTGCTGATATTGTATTGTATTAACCCAAATCTTCTCCTCATGTTTTATGGCCTACCTGAGCCATTTGTGCACCAATCTTCCACATGCTGCACTTTTCACTGTGGATGGTATCCAACAAAAAAAAATAATAAAAAAATTAATAAGGAGAGCCAGATATATTTTATAATAAATGTAAAAATATATGAATGCATATTTCATTAGACTATATCAGTGGCGTAGCAAGAATTTTAATTTTGGGGGGCCCGTCTTAAAATGAGGGGGCCGCTCTATATTAAATGTAGACTATAATGTCTATATTAAACATGCACATTTTCAAGTGTTTGTGCGGAGTGTGCAAGCTGAATCACAGCTTCATGGAGGTGCAGGTATACTGCTGCACGCACTGTGCGTAGCCTACCATGAGCGCTTCGACTGAATTGAGAAATGTTTGCCCCTTAAATATTTAAGCAGTTATTATATGTGTCTCATATTTCTTTTGACTGAACCAGCCACGCCATTAATTATGAATTAATCAGTCTTTTGATTTGGTGCTATCACTAAACTGATTATCTTTGCAAAATAGACTAAATCGATTCATGTTCGTTCGAACCGCTCTCTCACTGTTACTTGTTAATAGATAAACTACTTAAAAACACAGAGAACAAATAGTGTTGGATACAGTGGATTCAATGCTAGCCGCAGTAAAAACACATTGTAAATACAAACCTTTCATGCTCTCTAGAGTGCAAATGCAGATATGCACTGGATATATTTGTGGGTCCTTGGCATCGAACAGTTTGAAACACCATTGATCTGTGGACAGTGCGTTTTGTCTCTCTCACATAGAAACAGGACATTTACACGCAAGCCACTTGTCAATAAAATTGTTTCGGGAAAACCGCTCATAGCCTATAAGTCTGTCTAACCCTAACTGAATAGCATCGCCTACAACAAGGCTACTTATCGAGAGCGGTGGCCTAGAGTGAAGCCACATCAGTGCGTGCCATATGTGTCAAAACTATTTTTTGCTCTCTGCATTGGCCTATTACAATGAATTTGTATTTTAGAAATGGGAATACAACAAATTCATGCCAATGTTTTACATTCAAGCTATAAAAGTTATAGTTTAAATTTCTTTAAAAGCATCTGGAATACAATAACACAATTTTTAAAGGTATCTGTAGACTTGTTGCACAGTTTTTTTTGTTTTTTTTGCTAATATGTTCATCATTTAAGTGAAATATATTTTGTTTAGGACTGTATATTTATGTATATTAGATATATATTTTTTATTACGTTTTTCTCCTTCACACAGAAGCGCTGCAGGTGCTTGATGTGACGATTATAGTAATAGTTCTGATATTTGTGCTGCTATTTGCGCACGCATGCACTTAGTTCTAATTAATTTAAATCTTTATTTTACCGCACTGCCCTGCGTGCCTGTCTGCTACACCGCCTCGTGGCTATGACACTGGACTATATACGCCGTATGTGATGCACAAAACCATATCACATCTAGAAAACACGCCCACCTCTGTAATAAACACGGGGATGTTAGTCCCGTCCGAATTGGTACATGAAATCACAGACTTCGGGTGATAAGAATTAAAACTCAAGTGTAGTTTAAAAAACTAGTCCTATCCAAATAGGGCTTAATACACTAACTATGGAAACATACTACTGAGAATGATCTGTTTCTTTAACTCTGCCCATAAACATAATGGGAGCAGCGAAAGGTATAGAATTACAACAAGATTATGCAATCTGAAATTGTCTTCTACTTCCTGTAGGTTTCTGAAAAGTCCTGCTGCACAGGAAGCATGTGATTATCTCACTAAAGTTCTGGGTAAAAGTCCATTACTATTGACAGAACTGGATCTGAGTGAAGATAAATTAGGAGACATGGATGGGGAGAAACTCTCTGCTCTTTTGATGGACTCTCATAACAAAGTGGAAAAAATGAAGTGAGTGAACATGATTTTATAGACAAGATTATTCATATTCATGCACAGTGCTAATTCAAAGTACAAAAAGTGTAATTATTTGTAAAAGGTGTTTACAATGCTAAGTAAATGCACGGCTAAACAGTGTTTATAGTCTGGATTTGAATGTGTCTACTGACTTTTTCTGGAAGCTGATTCCAGTGTGTAGTTGAACATGAACAAACCATTGTTTTGAGCGAACCTTAATATTTCTATGCATAAATGTAAAACATACTGTATAATCTTAATTGTTGTATTTTTGGCTGGTTTTGTATTTTTATTGTATTTAAGCTATGCTTTATATTAAGTTTTTTTTTTTGGGGGGGGGTCATAATCCTGGAAGCGTTGTGTTCTTTATGAGCCGTAGCTGTCTAATGGTCTTTTTGGGAAGGAAGGTGTTTGTAATAGTCCATTCTGCTGGTGATGAAATGAAACATTTTTATCAAATCCTAATGGGATATAAAATCATCTATTTCTTGCTATATGTTTGAGATGATAGTATTCTGATTTAGTTATTACTTTGACATAACTACTGAAATTCAAAATCTCACCTATATTCCTGACTTTTTTTTGTATCCCTAGACTTCTGGGTTTACCCAAGTTTTGGGTTTACATTGAGAATTTCATCCTTTTTGTCAAATACAATAATCTCTGTTTTTCTTTGTATATTTAAAGGAAGAATTGGTACATCCAACAGTTACTTTTATCACTCAATGTCTCTGATATTTCAGTCCAGTGTTCATTGTCAGACCTGTGATGGGCCTCATTGGCTTTTGCTGTGCTTTTGCGAAGATGCTGAATGTTGCGACGGTACTCCTTACCTCTGCAGTCTACAACATAAGATCTTGGAGCACAATGCTGTCTCACAATATGACACCAGGAGACCACTTATGATTTCCAGGATATGGTTGCATCCTTACTTCATCCCCAGGATTTAGAGCAGGTCGAGGACCACTTGCCCTCTTGCGGTCATGGTAGAAATTTTGGATGATTTTACTTTCGTCCAGTTGATGTTTCACTTTAAGAGGGTCATAAGCACTTGGTGAGAGCAACTGCCGAGCAGCAGGCAGGTTGTTACGGGGCCATCTGCCCATTAGCAGCTGCGCTGGTGACAGGCCTACTGACTCTATCGGCGTTGTCCTGTAGTCGAGTAGAGCAAGATGTTTGTCTGTTGCCTTGCACCAGAGTTTCTTAACAGTCTGAACTGCTCGTTCCGCTTCGCCATTGGAGTGTGGCATGTGCAGTGATGACGTTTTGTGTGTGACTCCATAGCTTCGGCAGAAGTCCTTAAATTCCTCTGTGGAATATTGTGGACCGTTGTCCGTTCGAAGAATAGTAGGGATTCCGTGTCTGCTGAATTGAACCTTGAGGGCTTCCACGACGGCACTGCAATACAGACCTTTCAACTTATCCACCTCAATGAATTTTGAATAGTAATCCACCAACAGAACATAGTGATTACCTTCAAACTCAAATAGATCTGAAGCCACCTCTTCGAATGGAAGTTCTGGAGTTTCTGTGGGCTTGAGCGGTTGTCTGGGTAACCGATTCTGGAAATCAGCACATTTGCTGCAGTTCTTTATCATTTCCTCTATTTTGGCACTCATGCCTGGCCAGTATAAGACCTCACGAGCTCTCTGTTTGCTCTTAACTATCCCTAAGTGAGACTGGTGTACAAGCTTCAGCATATCATTTTGCATGGAAGGAGGTACTATTATACGGAGGCCTTTATAGATGACGCTATCAGCTATGGCAAGCTGACTTCGAGAGTCCCAATGTGGTTGGACAACTGTGGGTACATTGCGTCTATGGTTTGACCATTTTGCATGGAAGGAGGTACAACTATACGGAGGCCTTTATAGATGATGCCATCAGCTATGGCAAGCTGACTTCGAGAGTCCCAATACGGTTGGACAACTGTGGGTACATCGCGTCTATGGTTTGGCCACCCTTGCTGTATCATTTGTTGGAGGGCGCTGAGCTAATTTTTCGTGCGCTCTTGGAGCACTGAGTATCTCTGCTCACTAACAGAGACCAAACTGAGCATAGAGATACACTCCAGGCCTTCAATTTCTGACTTTTTCTCGGGTAGTTGTGCTCTAGACCAGTGTTTCCCAACCGGGGTGCAGCGGCACCCTGGGGTGCCGTCTGTCGAGAGCAGGGGTGCCGTGTAAAAAATCATTTTTTAATATTTTTAAATTGCTAAAATGCTGCCGAAAATTAGTTCCCATTCAGTCAGTCACGTTCAACGTTACGTCAGTGACTGACGAATTGGGATCTCGCCCGAGAGCCCAATCACCTTCGAGAGTTAACTAAACAAGCCAATGACAGTTGGCGTGCGTGTTTCGCCACGCGCACCCCGCCCCGCAGCGCGGGTATAAAAGGAGAGCGCGTGCAAACGCACATCAGCTTTTCGCTTCGGAGCCGAGCCTTCT